AACATTGGGGTCGGATGAGTGCAAGGATCATCAGCTAGTACCCTGGAGGCAAATTCTTAGGACAGAGATTTTCTCAGCCTGATTTCAGAACTACAGGGCAAGCCAAGGATTCCCCCCAAAATCAACATGCCTGCTGCGTTATTTCATGGGAGACCTTAATCCCCTTCTACTCAGGGAGCTCATCAATAAAGAAAACGTCCATCCTAGACAGGGCCAAGGTTTCACCTCTGGCCTCAGCAAGGCTCTCTTCATAGTCAACACTTGGTGAAACTTTGCACTGACTGACTGAATCAATGATGACTACAAACACAGTCATTTAAGCCCAAGATGCAAATTTTCAAAGGATTCAACTGAAAACTGGTAACAGGGTTCTTGAACCCCTTACTCAAACCCAGGTCTAAACAGGCCAGAGTGTGAGCGGAATGCGGGAGGGTCTTCCTGTGGAAAGAACTATGCAGTGATCCTACCACACCTACTCAACCTCATGAGAGAAGCTCTGAAGAGGTTGCACAGGTGTCTGATCCACACCTGAAAAATCTAAAATGGAGAGAAACTGGCCTATGCTTCCAGGATGGAAATGAAGGAGAGGTTGCTGTTGTGCTGTTATCAGCCTGAATGCTGGAGTTTATTTGTGCATAAATATGTGTTTCCTATGGAGCAGATGTAGACAACTCACAACAGAGGGAAATAAGTCATCTTAGATTCTGTGTAATAGGGCAGATTGGAAAGACAAAGAGGGCAGAGAGAAGTGGATTCCCTGATGGAGAAGCAACAAACTGGAGGCAATCACATCACCTTTGTCAAGGGGACTGCAGAAGAGAGGTTGGTCTGCAGTGATGGTCCAGAAATGGAGTGAGAAGAGGGAGATCTCCAAGGGGCCCCTCTGTTAGTGTGCCAGGGCTGCCACTGTGAAGTACTGCAGACTGGGTAGCTTAAACAACACAAAATAAAGCCCAAGATCAAGGTGGCAACAGGGTCAGTTTCCTTCTAGACGCCTTTCTTCTTGGCCTATATATAGACGGACGTCTTCGCCCTATGTTTTCACATGGTCGTCTTCTGTGTGTGTCTGTATCCTAATCTTTTCACCTTATGAAGATACCAATCATATTGGATTAGAGTCCACCCATATGACCTTATTTTACCTTAATTACCCCTGCAAAGGCGCTGTCTCCAAATACAGGTACATTTTGAGAAACTAGGGTAGGACTTCAACATAGAAATGGGGTGGAGGGGCACAATCCATTCCCAGAAATAGCGCAGCAGTAAAACAAACATCTGTCAAACTCAGAACACGGCACTATCGTGCCAAGTCAAATAAGAACTTTCAGTCGGGCGTGGTGGTGGGTGCCTGTAATCCCAGCTACTCAGGAGGCTGAGGCATAAAAATTGCTTAAACTTAAGAGGTAGAGGTTGAGGTGAGCTAAGATCATGCCACTGTACTCAGCCAGGGCAGCAGAGTAAGACTCTATCTCAAAAAAAAAAAGAACATTTTTATTCCTCTAACTTCTTATCTTCCCCTGCCCTACGCCCAGTTTTACCATAGAGTGATCCCTAGAGAGATCCCAAACTGTGGACAGGAAGATGCAGGAGGCAGGGTAGCAGGGTGAAGTAGGGACAAAGAGAAAAGGGAGAGCTATTTAACCTTAAATCAAATTTCAGCTTTTTACTGTGATTAAATTGGTGCAAAATTAATCACGGCTTTTGCCATTAAAATAACAAAAACCATAATTACTTTTGCAGCAACCTAATATTTGACACTGAGCCCTCTAAGTTCTGAATTAAGAGTATTTAGCAGTAGAAACTGACTGCAGAAATTAAAAAAATATATATCTAACAATAATCAGAAAAGTCATAGACACTGGGTGCAGTGGCTCATGCCTATAATCCCAGCACTCTGGAAGGCCAAGGTGGGAGGATCTCTTGACCTTGAGACCAGCCTGGGCAACATAGTGAGATCCCCATTGCTACAAAAATAAAAACAAATTAGTTGGGTGTCTTGGTGTGCACCTGCAGTCCCAGCCACTTAGGAGGCTAAGGCAAAAGGATCGCTTGAGCCCAGGATTTTGAAGCTAAGGGCCTATAATTGTCACTATGCTCTAGCCTGGGAGACAGAACGAGATCCCATTTTAAAAAAAAAAAAGGCTGGGCACGGTGGCTCACGCCTGTAATCCCAGCACTTTGGGAGGCTGAGGTAGGCAAATCACAAGGTCAAGAGATCGAGACCATCCTGGCCAACATGGTAAAACCCCTACTCTACTAAAAATACAAAAATTAGCTGGGTATTGTGGTACATACCTGCAGTCCCAGCTACTTGGGAGGCTGAGGCAGGAGAATAGCTTGAACCTGGGAAGCAGAGGTTGCAATGAGCCGAGATCACGCCACCACACTCCATCCTGGCTACAGAGTGAAACTCTGTCTCAAAAAGAAAAGAAAAGAAAGAAATGCCAGGTATTTTGGCTCATGCCTATAATCCCAGCACTTTAGCTGGGATTGGAAGGCCGAGGTGGATGGATCACTTGAGGTCAGGAGCTCGAGACCAGCCTGGCCAACATGGCAAAACCTCGTCTCTACTAAATATACAAAAATGAGATAGGCCTGGTGGCACACAATTAGGAAGCTGAGGCACAAGAATCACTTGAACCCAGGAGGCAGAGGCTGCAGTGAATAGAGACGTGCCACTGCACTCCAGCCTGGGTGAAAGTGAAACTGTGTCTCAAAAAAAAGAGAAAGAAACATCATAGATTTCATCCAGAGACAAGGGATATAGTAACCTCACAAAATAACTTTCAGACAGGAGCTGCTTTATGATTACTATCTTATAAGTCTTATTTATTCAGCAAACCAAATAAATTATGAATGAATAAACTAGCAAACCTTCTTTTATGAATTAACCAAGGTACAGGTTAGTTGAAAGACTGCCCAGATGATAAAGTTAGTGGGGGAAAGACATAACAATAGTGTCATCTTGGCAATGAATCCTTTCCAAAATAATATCTCAGATCTTTTTTCCAAGAAAATTAATGAGCACATTCTTTTTAAACTATAAATGTCATTTAGATACTCTATCATAATGATCAGGTAGTAAAACTCTTTTGAGATCATTCATCTCCTATATTCACAACTTGTCTTTATTCAGGGATGACATTCCTCTTGGAAACCAAATATATCATTCTTCTTTGAGAATAAAACCTGCCATCAACCAGGATTGATCTTGGTCTATGAATCAGGCAGAGCCAGCGGCACTGATACAAAATTGGCTGTGGCATCACCACTATCTGGTCTGTCAAATCTGCTACTCACATGCTCCAATAAGCCTACCAAAGAAAAGTCCCAAGGTTACCTCCCGCCCTAAATCCATCCAATTTAAAAAGCATGGCTTAATCAAAACAAGCTACCTCTGGAATATAAAAATCACTCTAGGACTAAGAAACTCCATGCAATTATCCCTTAAATTGAAGTTCTTTTTAAGATGATCTCCAAAATGCTCATCCTGTTCTGTGTTACTTATCTTTTGATGTTCATTTCAATATCACCTTCTAAACACTCCAACGTGTTCGCCTCTGAAGAGGAAAACTGCCTTACACGTGCCCAGCAACTGGCCCCACGTGACTATGTATGGGTAAGCCCCTTCACAGCTTCCTCCAAAGTCCATTCCTTCATTTTCACCTGTCTTGAAACCCAAAAGAGCCCATCAAGTTTAAAGATAGAGATCCAATCCTCAAACATTATTGGTGAAAATGTAAAATGGTATAGCCATTGTGAAATGCAGTGTGACAATTTCTTACAAAGTTAAATAGAAATTTACCCCACGACTCAGCAATGCTATTCCTACCTATGAGAGAAATGAAAACATATGTCCACACAAAGACTGAATATTTTTAGAAGCGGCATTCATGATTGTGGAAAACGTGAAACAACAGAAATGTCTGTCAACTAGGTAAATAAACTGTGGCAATTCCATATAATGCAATACTATCCAGCAAGAAAAAGGAATAGAATGCTGATCCATGGTGACACATGGATGAAGCTCAAAAACATTTTGAAAAGTGAAAGTTAGACACAAAAGACCACACATAACATGATTCCTTTTTTGGGGGGGTAACAGAGACACAGAGTTTGCTCTGTTACCCAGGCTGGAGTACAGTGGCACCATCATAGCTCTCTGCAGCCTCAAACTCCTGGGCACAAGTGATCCTCCCATCTCAGCCTCCTGAGTAGCTGGGACTACAGGCACACATCACCACACCCAGCTAATTTTTGTATTTCTGTAGAAACAGGGTCTCACTGTGTTGCCCAGCCTGGCTGTGAACTCCTGGCCTCAAATGTTCCTCCTGCCTGGGCCTCCCAAAGTGCTGGGATTAGAAGCATGAGCCACCACCCCTCCCTGGCCATGATTCCATTTCTAAGGCATGTCTAGAAAAAGTAAATTTATAGAGACAAAAAGTAGATTGATGGTTGTCCAGGGCTGGGAACGCTAATAGGAAGTAACTGCAAATGCCATAAAGGGTCTTTCTGGAGTGAGAAAAATGTTCTAAAACTAGATGGTGGTGATGACTGCAAAACTCTGTTAATTTAATAAAAGTTGTTGACTTGTATACTAAAATCAGTGAATTTCACAGAAAGTAAGTTATATCTCAGTGAAGTTCTTAAAAAGATCCAGTGAAGGCTGGGCGTGGTAGCTCACACCTGTAATCCCAGCAGATTTGGGAGGCCAAGGCAGGTGGATCACCTGAGGTCAGCAGTTCAAGACCAGCCTAGTCAACATGGTGAAATTCCAACTCTACTGAAAAAATACATAAATTAGCCAGGCACGGTGGTGGATGCCTGTAATCCCAGCTACTCGGCAGGCTGAGGCAGGAGAATTGCTGAAAGGCAGAGCTTGCGGTGAGCCGAGATCATGCCACTGCACTCCAGCCTGGGCAACAGAGTGAGTTGCTGTCTCCAGAAAAAAAAAAAAAAAGGGGAGGCCCACATACAAAGTAATTGGTTATGAAACATATCTTTCGAGTGAGTAAGAGGACAGGTTCTGCTCATGGTTATGTTTAATTCCTGTTGTTACCCTAGAAAGAATGAATTTCTAAAAGTTGGCTAACTACATATTTCATAGGTTCTTTGACTCAGTTTCAAAACAGGAAAACTTGGACTCTCACATTCTGGAATGCTGGAGACGTCATTTACAATGCCTTTTGGCTTGTGAATCTCTTCCCTTACCCAGGCATCTAGTGTCTTGAATACTATTCAGAATGAGGAATATATAAATATGTTAATGACATAGATTCTGTGAACTCTGATGCCCTAGGAGAAGGGAGTGGATGTAAAGTCCAGAAATTATTTATGCTGCCCCAGCTATCATATTTGGACATCACTCATACACTGTGTATTCAAAAAAAGGCTGTTTCGTGTCTCCAGTCCAACAGAGACGCAGTGCTGGCTCATGTGAAGGCAGGCTTCCCATCTCCTTTAGCCTAACACTGTGGCTTGGTACTCCTGCAGTGGATCCATGATGGGCCTGTCCACCAGGGCCCAGCCCCCTCCTCCTACCGTCCCCACCCACTCCAACCAGGTCATTCTGGCAATAGCTGCTCCCTTAGAGGTGGAACTGTGTCCTCATAAGGGGATTTTTGGAGTTCGGGAGGGGAGGCCGACCTTTCTCTTGGGATGAGAACTGGGAAACCAGGAGCCTGGCAGCTGCCCAAAACCCAGTTCTAGCTGGTTTGAGAGAGGGAACCAGGGGCGGGGTGAGGATGGGGTAAGCTGGGCTGATTCCAGGGATCCCCAAGGCCCTGCTATTGCCACACCCTTTTAGCACAGGATATGGGGTCACATAAGGCAAGGCACGCCCCTTCTAGCCTAAACTATTTCAAGCTGAGTTTCTGACACTTGCCCTCAGGCACCAAAGTATTTGTCAGTACTCTTAGGTTGCAAGTGACAGAGACCCAACTCAGATGCCACAGTAGAAGAGGTGCCTAGATCTTCAACAGCACATTTGCAGCTTGCAATTTGGTCTGTTCAGCCCATTCCTGAAGTCAGCAGCTAAATTTACTTCATGAAGCTACAGAAGTGAAAATATATAATGGGATGACCCTTTGAATCTGCAGGTTAAGGAGGGCATGTTTGTCATTCACTTGTTTGGCTATTCACTGTGTGTGGATCTGTCCTGCCCGCTGCCCTCACACAGCCTCACCTCATCAGTCCTCCATTCATTACCCTCCTCTAACATCAGTGCAGTCACTGAAGGTGACCTTGCCGGCAATCCACGTGTGAGTCTTCTGGGCTATTTTCATTCTGAAATTAAGTACTGCTCTTTGGCTCTCCTACAGAAATCAGGTCAACAATGAAAACAATCACAATTCACTGGAAGTAAATAGCATTAAATAATTTTTAAGCCCTCAAGAAATAAAAAGCCACTGTAACAGCTGGGTCTAGGAGGAAATAGTGCTTGGGGTCTGGAGATAGAAGTGGACTCTATCTTCTCTGCTCTCCTGGGACTTGACTCCACAGTACTGCGGGAGTACAAAGGAGGGAAACAAGGAAGCTGTTCCCCAAGTACAGGCTAAGGAGGAATAGGAAAAACAAAACCTTCAGGACTGGCAGGAACAATGTGAGAAGGACAGACAGTAGGGAAACTGCCATGGGGTATGGGGTGAGATGGGGTGCTGAGGGCTCAGGTGGACCAGGAGACCTCAATGCCTCTGATAAATAATACTCTGAGCACTTAATCCTTGAATAGTGGTGAAGATATGATATGAAAACACACCGTCACCCTCATTTATTCTAAGCAAGACACCTGGAAGAGACACCTAACAGAGTGGCTCAAACATCAAGGCCTCACTCCCCAGGGACCATGCCAGCCTGGATTTGCCACACTACAAATAGAAAAGCCTTTCAGATATTTTTCCATCACAAGCTGCAAGTTGTTCTATGCCTGGGCCATGGGGGCAGCTAGATCCACCTGCCTGATAAAGACAAACTCCTGTTAACTAAATTTGAAACCCTAGTCTTTCTTTCAATTTCCAACCACTTTCTGTGTGCAGGGATAAAAAGCAAACAGCACTAACATGAAGGATGGGGAATGCTTCCATTAACCAGTAAAGACCGAATATGCTCCCCCACGTGCCCCACACATATCCACAAACCTACATACCTTGCATCTAATGCAAGAGTTTTACACGGTAATAGCATCAAGGCTACTCAAGAACTTAAAATTTATGAGAAACCTATAATTTCTTATTCATGTCATACTCACTGAATCTCAACCAGGAGCCAAGTACACAGGTGACACGGAAATATGGACCATACAACCCCAGCTTACAAAATCATTCTGGGTTTTTTTTTTTTTAAATAAAAAGTCGGAGCTGGACACAGTGGCTCACACCTGTAATCCCAGCACTTTGGGATGCTAAGGCGGGTGGATCACCTGAGGTCAGGAGGTCGAGACCAGCCTGGCCAACACAGTGAAACTCTGTCTCTACTAAAAATACAATAAATTAGCTGGGCATGGCAGTGGGTACCTGTAATCCCAGCTACTAGGGAGGCTGAGGCAGGAAAATCACTTGAACCTGGGAGGCGGAGGTTGCAGTGAGCTGAGATTGCACTTCAGTCTGGCCAATAAGAGCAAACCTCCATCTCAAAAAAAGAGAAAAAAAAAAAAGTCAACATGGGCTAATGCACTTGCACAGAAGTAGAGATATGGATTTTTAAACCCAAAACTCAAATGTTTATTACACCATGTATAAGTAGTTTGTGATGAAGCTATTGTAATTCTCTATAGAAATGCTTAAAGCTAAGGGCAAAATCCCAGTTAACTGGGTAAGAGAAACAAGGAAGCTTAATCATATATGTGTTTATTGAGTACATTCTAGACGTCAGGTGGAATGGGGTTACTGGACCTACAAGAAGACATATTATTTAGACCAGTACTGTCCAATACTATAGCCACATGTGGCCTCCGAGTATTTGAAATGTGACTAGTGCAAATTGAGATGCACTGTAAAGAGGATTTACACAATGGACTTCAAAGACTAGTAAAATAGAATGCCAACTACATCATTAATAAGTTTCATATGGATTAGATATTAGAAATAATATGTTGGACATATTAGATAAAATTTATAAAAATTAATTTCATTTAAAAAAACATTTTATTGTGGCTACCAAACAATTTAATATGATCCATGTGGCCTGTATTAGTGGTTTGCTTGCATTTTTGTTAGATAGTAATGATTTAGATTTTCCCCTTCAAGCATATAGCATCTTATTATTAATACTAACAAAGCAGATGTAAAATTAAGGAGAAAATGTATATGCTCCCACCTTCAACATTTACTTACTATCATAAGATCACAAAACTAATCTAGCAAATGCTGGAGGTTAATAATTAAACAATGATTGAAAGTTGTAATTTAAAAGATTCACTCTCCCACACGTAAAAGGGATGATTAGCCTACAATTTTATTTCACTCAAAGACTGATGGACTCCTAATGTATGCAAACTCAACTATTACCCTGTTGGCAAGAAGACCACGTCCATCTATGAAAGGGCTAGTTTACCAGTCAGGGACTCTCCTGTACTCTCTCCCTCTAGCTGGTCTCAAAAGACCATCCTCAATTCGGGCTGACAAGGGGCACCATGGAGCTACATTTATCCTCCTTATTCTTAAGAAGCTATAGCTTTGATCTGGGAGTGGTGGCTCACGGCCGTAATCCCAGCACTTTGGGAGGCCGAAGCAGGTAGATCACCTGAGGTCAGGAGTGGCCACCATGGTGAAACCTCGTCTCTACTAAAAAAAAAACAGAAGTTAGCTGGGTGTGGTGGCGAGCGCCGTAATTCCAGCCACTTGGGAGGCTGATGCAGGAGAACCACCTGACCCAGGAGGCGGAGGTTGCAGTGAGCCAAGACCGCACCACTGCACTCCAGCCTGGGTGACAAGAACAAAACCCTGTCTCAAAAAAAGGCAAAAAAAGAAGCTATAGCTTTTACTTGCTGTACAGCATCTAATAAGACTGTATTAGCCTATCCCAGCCCCAAATTTTCTGTAGTAGAGGCTGAAAACTCTCCCCAAAACAAAAACAAAAACAAAATTACTGGCATATACTATTCAGAAAACATGTCTATGCTTTTTTTCTATCAACGTTTGGAAAATTTTCCAAAAAACTCGGTAAAGAATTAATTCTACCATTACTTCGTGCTAAGAGCCACCATGTTCAGTTTAACCAAGATGTTACTACTCTGTGTCTAGATTATGGTTGAAGCAATACAAGTTCTCTGGTGAGGCTGAAGACCTTGGTAATGCAATCTGGAATAAGATAAGACTGGGCACTAATAAAAGAACTACATCTTTACATTGCCCACATTACACAATGGCACAATAATAGAAGGACAAATAGGGAGAATGCTAATACAAACAGTTGCGCACTCAACAGAAGACACAAGGCAGATACATTACGATAAATATGGGGCAATCTCTCTTTATTGTTATAGATTATAATGGCAGGAAGTAATCATGTTGGCCAATATATCAGCAGTTCTTTAAAGGTGGGGTGATAAAGAACATGATGGCATTAGCAATGATAGTAACAGCCACAATAGCTATCCTTTAAAGATTACTTTGCGAAAATTTTTTTTATTTTATTATAAATGGGTATCATCTCATTTAATGCTCACAAGCACTTCAGAATTAGATGCTATTGTTATTATTCTCAGCTTCCAGACTAGGAAATTGCAGCAGAGAAAGTTTATTTGATCAAAAGGGCATAGCCCATAAATAGAGGAGGATGGATTAAACTAAGGTTCAACTTCCAAGCCCAAGATGTGACACCAGGCTACATGTTAGACAACACCAGTAATTTTTAAAAGTCTAGCCAACAGGCCAATCTTTCTAGTACTTAAAAGAAAAAATTCAGTTCCCTTCAAAGATGGAACAAGGCTTCAGAATTGCTGCTGGCACACAGAGGCCCCTCTAGGAAATCTGAATGAACCAATTGGCAACAGGCATTCCTTCTGGCTGTTCGTCCTTACTCACACAGCCCTGCCTCACTGGAATGGAAGAAGCATCTTTATTTCTTTGTTCTCACATGCGGAGCACATGCTTAAGGAATAATTGTATTGAATTCACGGAGTCAACAAATCCTCTTCCATATAGCTTGGCTAAAGATCCACAGTCAATAACAGAGAAAATATAAAGATAATTATAGACAAGTGAAATGGCTATTTTTACATTCGGCAGAGCTGACAGCAGACTGGGATGGAGGTTTCCATATCTTGGCAACAATTTGGAAAAGCAGAACATTTAGATAGTTATATACTTCTCTAACATGAGGACATTTCTGTTCTTTAAGAAATTATTCCATCCCGCACAACTCTCTCTAAGCTATAAAAAAGAAAACGCTGGTCCGGGCACAGTGGCTCATGCCTGTAATTCCAGCACTTTGGGACGCCAAGGCAGGTGGATCACCTGAGGTCGGGAGTTCAAGACCAGCCTGACCAACATGGAGAAACCCCATCTCTACTAAAAATACAAAATTACCCAGGCATGGTGGCACATGCCTGTAATCCCAGAAGGAGTTTTAGTCTTGTTGCCCAGGCTGGAGTTGGAGTGCAATGGCATGATCTTGGCAGGAGAATTGCTTGTACCTGGGAGGCGGAGGTTGCAGTGAGTTGAGATTGTGCCACTGCACTCCAACTCCAGCCTGGGCAACAAAAGCAAAACTCCATCTTAAAAAAAAAAAAAGGAAGTAAAGAAAATGCTGCTGCAATTCTTCAGGACAATTTAAGCCCTGATATTATACATGTGGAATCCTAAAAACATCACCCCATGAGGTAAGAATGGGACAGAGGTGCACAGTGCTATTGTTCAAGAAGCCACACACAAAAGTGCCCACAGCCAGGCAGCCTGCCACCCGAGCCTGCAGCAGTTGTCACCAGGACAGGGTGAGCACCTCCTTGTTTCTTTTGCCACAGTGGATATAAACACCCACTTTCCATTTATTTGGTCAAAGGGGCATAGAATCAAATGCCCTTTGTTGTAGGGGCTATGCATGTAAAATAATCAGGGGCTGTTTTAAAGACAACAGAAAGCAAGCCTGTTGGCAAACAAGGCACAAACATTAGCAAAGCCATCAGGAGACAGGCTTGGGATACGTATCACTTGGAGGAAATCAGGGCATCATGTGCCTGTCTCATTAGGCTTTTAGAGACTGTAGAAGAGCAGTTGAAAAAGGAAACAAACAGCACACCCAACACCGTGCAAAGGTGTATAGCATAGAAACAACCTAACTACTGGCCGGGGGCGGTGGCCCACGCCTGTAATCCCAGCACTTTGGGAGGCTGAGGTGGGTGGATCATGAAGTCAAGAGATTGAGACCATCCTGGTCAACATGGTAAAACCCAGTATCTACTAAAAATACACCTGCAGTCCCAGCTACTCAGGAGGCTGAGGCAGGAGAAATCACTTTAACCGGGAAGGCAGAGGCTGCAGTGAGCCCATACAGTGCCACTGCACTCCAGCCTGATGACAGAATGAGACTCCATTATCAAAAAAAAGGAAAAAAAAAAAAAAAAAAAAAAGGACCTAATTATCTAGGAATTTATCAAGATTGCTGAGTGGCTGTATACATGAAGTTACTGGCAGACATGAGTTTTTCCTCAAAAAACAAAAACATTCCAAGAAAATCTTGGATGGTAAGTATATGAATATTGGCAATAGTTTCCATGCCTATATTTTAAATAGTATTTTCCCCCAATTTAAAAAAGCTCATAAGAAATGCAAAACGTTTTTCTCAAAAGAGAAAAATGATATAGACTCTTAAGTAAATCTAAGACTTTTTTTTATTTCTTTAAACAAAGACCCAAGAAGGTTCTGAGAGCGTTTGAATCAACTTGCACCCACGACAAATGGAAACTGGGCCTGAAGTAAGCCTGTGCTTGGAGACACAAAGATGGAAAACTCAGCACCTTGCCTGGTGCTATGGCTTCCTAGCATGTTAAATATAGGACGCTGAACCTTTCCTGGGCCTACCTTTTTTTTTGTTTTGTTTTGCTTTGAGACAGTCTCGCTCTGTTGCCCAGGCTGGAGTGTAGTGGCATGGTCTTGGCTCACTGCAACCTCTGCCTCCGGGGTTCATGTGACTCGCCTGCCTCAGCCTTCCAAGTAGCTGGGATTACAGGTGCACACCACCATGTCCAGCTAATTTTTGTATTTTTAGTGGAGACAGGTTTTCACCATGTTGGCCAGGCTGGTCTCAAACTCCTGACCTCAAGTGATCCACCACTTCAGCCTCCCAAAGTGCTGGGAGTACAGGCATGAGCCCACGCCTGGCTTCACCGTCTTTCATAAAGAAGAAAGAA